AGGCTGTAGTATGCCACGATCATATCTGTGAATAGCCACTGTACTCCAGCCTAGGCAACATCGTGAGACCTCACCTCTAAAAAAAACAAAAACAAAAAAACGGACCTAGGGTCCTGTGACCAGGGAATCGGATTGGCTGCAGGAAAAAAAAAAAAGCAGAGTCCTGTGCTAGACGGGAACCTGCATCATCACCATCATGCTGTGTGTGTGTCTGTGACTAAGCGTGAAGGAATTAGGGGCATGACAGGGATGGGTGGGGAGAAGAGGAGAAAGGCTCTAAACACAGGCTTCCCCTATGGTCATGAGAAACAAGTTTATCTTTCTTTCTTTCTTTCTTTTTTTTTTTTTTTTTTGAGACCGAGTTTCGCTCTTGTTGCCCAGGCTGGAGTGCAATGGCGCAATCTCAGTTCACCACAACCTCCGCCTCCCGGTTCAGGTAATTCTGCCTCGGCCTCACGAGTAGCTGGGATTACAGGCGCATCCCGCCATGCCTGGCTAATTTTGTATTTTTAGTAGAGATGGGGTTTCTCCAGGTTGGTCAGACTGGTCTCAAACTCCCAACCTCAGGTGATTCACCCACCTCGGCCTCCCAAAGTGCTGGGATTACAGGCATGAGCCACTGCACCCAGCCTAAGTTCTAAGTTTATCTTCAATTTGACTTTTTTTTTTTTTTTTTTTTTTTGAGACAGGGTCTTGCTCTGTCACCCAGGCTGAAGTGCAGTGACACCATTATAGCTTACTGCAGTCTCAACCTCCCCAGCTCAAGCAGTCCTCCCACCTTAGCCTCCTCAGTAGCTGAGACTACAGGTGTGTACCACCACGCCCACCTAATTTTTGTATTTGTAGTAGAGATGGGGTTTCACCATGTTGCCTAGGCTGGTCTCGAACTCCTGGACTAAAGTAATCCTCCAGTTTGCCCTCCCAAAGTGCTGGGATTAGAGGAGTGCACCATTGTGCCCAGCCCTGCATGGGTGATTCTAATGCAGGTGGTCCAGGGCTGCACTGGATGATGTCCAGCATGAGCTTCAAATCAGCACAAGACTCCTCTGGATAACCAATCATCCTCTCAATCTCGGCCTCCCTCCTTTCCCTTTCCTTCCTGACACCCTATATTCCTGCCCCTCATTCTTCTTTCTGTGACCACAGACCCCACCGAATATTACTTGTCTCTGAGGCTCTGTTACTGCTCTTTTCTCCACCTGGTGTGGCCTTCCCTACCTTCCTCTGCTCGGTCCCATCTCCCCCAAGAGGCCTTGTCATACTTCCCCTCTCTTGGGCTCCTATCTATTCCACATAGGCTCAGCTTTTGGCAGTCTGCTGAAGTGTTCTCTCTTTATGAAACCTGCCCTAACATAACCTTCTTTTTCTTTTTTTTCTTTTTTTTTTTTTTTTTTTGAGACGGAGTCTCGCTCTGTAGCCCAGGCTGGAGTGCAGTGGCCGGATCTCAGCTCACTGCAAGCTCCGCCTCCCGGGTTCACGCCATTCTCCGGCCTCAGCCTCCCGAGTAGCTGGGACTACAGGCGCCCGCCACCTCGCCCGGCTAGTTTTTTGTATTTCTTAGTAGAGACGGGGTTTCACCGTGTTATCCAGGATGGTCTCGATCTCCTGACCTCGTGATCCACCTGTCTCGGCCTCCCAAAGTGCTGGGATTACAGGCTTGAGCCACCGCGCCCGGCTAACCTTCTTTTTCTTTTTCTTTTTCTTTTTTTGAGACAGGGTCTCATTCTGTCTCTTAGGCTGGAGTGCAGTGGCATGATCAGGGCTCACTGTAGCCACAGCCTCTTGAGTAGCTGGGACTACAGGTGTGCTCCACCATGTCTGGCTAATTTTTGTTGTTGTCATTAGAGATGGGGTCTCCCTATGTTGCCCAGGCTGGTCCCAAACTCCTGCTTCAGCCTCCCAAAGTGCTGGGATCACAGGTAGGAGCCACCATGCCCAGCCCATAAGCGGTTTCTTTCTTTCTTTCTTTTTCTGAGACGGAGTCTCGCTCTGTCGCCCAGGCTGGAGTGCAGTGGCCGGATCTCAGCTCACTGCAAGCTCCGCCTCCCGGGTTTACGCCATTCTCCTGCCTCAGCCTCCCAAGTAGCTGGGACTACAGGCGCCCGCCACCTCACCCGGCTAGTGTTTTTTGTATTTTTTTTAGTAGAGACAGGGTTTCACTATGTTAGCCAGGATGGTCTCGATCTCCTGACTTCGTGATCCGCCCGTCTCGGCCTCCCAAAGTGCTGGGATTACAGGCTTGAGCCACTGCGCCCGGCCCATAAGCGGTTTCTTTACCTCATCTATAAAATCAAGATGACAGGTAAATGAGAAAGTGTACACAAGGAGCATTATAGTCACTTAATAAATCATAGCTGTTATTTTTATATTGCTGTTTGATCTCAAGTAGGTCAGTTTAAGAGCTCTTCTGCCAAGCACTGTAGTAACTTACACAATAACATATCTATTATTATCCCTATTTTATAGTTGAAAATGAGACAAAGAGAGATAAAGAAACTTTTTCTAGGCCATGTGTGGTGGCTCATGCCTGTATTCCCAGCATTTTGGGAGGCCGAGGTGGGAGAAGTGCTTGAGCCCAGAAGTTTGAGACCAGCCTGGGCAACATAGTGGGATCCCCATCTCTAACGAAAATTTAAAAAATTAGCCAGTCATGGTGGTTTAAGCCTGTGGTCACAGCTACTCAGAAGGCTGAGTCTGGGAGGTCAAGGCTGCAGTGAGTCCTGACTGTGCCACTATACTCCAGCCTGGACAACAGAGTGAGACCTTGTCTTGAAAAGAAAAGGGCCGGGCTTGGTGGCTCACGCCTGTAATCCCAGCACTTTGGGAGGCCGAGACGGGTGGATCACCTGAGGTCAGGAGTTCAAGACCAGCCTGGCCAACATGGTGAAAACCTGTCTCTACTAAAAATACAAAAATTAGCTAGGCGTGGTGGCGCATGCCTGTAATCTAAGCTACTCGGGAGGCTGATGCAAGAGAATCGCTTGAACCCAGGAGGTGGAGATTGCAGTGAGCCGAGATCAGGCCACTGCACTCCACCCTGGGCAACAAGAGCGAAACTCTGTCTCAAAAAAAAAAAAAGAAAGAAAGAAAGAAAGAAAAGAAAACTTGTCCTGGTTCACCCAGGAGAAATTGGCTGCACTTGGATTTGAGTTGAGGCATCAGGTCCTGAGCCTTTTTTTTTTTTCCTTTTTGAGATAGGATCTTGCTCTGTCACCCAGGACAGTGCAGTGACATGATCATGGCACACTGCAGCCTCAATCTCCCACACTCAAGCAATCCTCCCACCTCAGCCTCCCAGGCAGCTGGGACTACAGATGCGCACCACCATGTCTGGATAAATTTTGTATTTTTTTGTAGAGGCAGGGTTTTGCCAGGTTTCCCATGCTGGCCTTGAACCCCTGGGCTCAAGCAATTCTCCCACCTTAGCCTCCCAAAGTGCTGGGATTACAGGTATGAGCCACTGAGCGTGGTCTCTGAGCTCTTAATCATCACGCTATCCTTAATTTCTCACATCCTGATAGGAGAGAACAAGTGCCAAGGCTGGAGCGTGGGACCTGGCGTGTGGTAGGTGCTCAACAAATGCTAGAGACTGAATTGAGCTGAATGGTTTCTATATCCAGGGAGAGGAGGAAAAATCACCCAAAGACGTTACTGGCCATGATGTCTCATGCTTTTTATTTGATAAGACTCAACATCTCTAATGAGTTTTCAGATCTCTAATGAGAAAGAGATGTAAAAAAATAATTCAGAAAAAAAATTCAGAATGGTGTCCCACTCAAAGCGTGGGGGGAGGCAGGAGTGAGTGTCTAAAGCCAGTCAATCTACCTCAAAGGGGTGATCATGGGTTTTAACTTCAGAATGTGAAGATGGCGCAGGGATATTGGGGAAGAAGGAAGGGTACAGGGTAGTCAGTCTGGTCCCAAAACCTTCCTACTCCCGCTACCCCTAACCTCTGAATCTCTCTCCAAGTCACTCTATATCATTGGCACTACAAATACTGACTTTCTCTTCATGGACGACTGGGAGAGATTTAATCTAAGAAAGACTCAGTGGAAGAAACGCGTGGATATTATTTTCCAATCAAGGTGCCATACAGAATGGAGATCCATCCTGGCTCCAAATTCTCTTTCAATTCAGGTCATTAATCTTATCCACCCTCCTTTTTTTTTTTTTTTTTGAGACGGAGTCTCGCTGTGTCTCCCAGGCTGGAGTGCAGTGGCGTGATCTCGGCTCACTGCAAGCTCCGCCTCCCGGGTTCACGCCATTCTCCCGCCTCAGCCTCCCAAGTAGCTGAGACTACAGGCGCCTGCCACCACGCCCGGCTAGTTTTTTTGTATTTTTAGTAGAGACGGGGTTTCACCATGTTAGCCAGGATAGTCTCGATCTCCTGACCTCGTGATCCACCTGCCTCGGCCTCCCAAAGTGCTGGGATTACAGGCTTGAGCCACCGCGCCCGGCATCCACCCTCCTTTAAGCTCCATATAGATCTCAGGTAGACCAGAGAGCCTTGCCTTTGAGCCCGGGGTCTTTTCTATAGTCAGATAGCTTCTCATCTCAACTGTATCAACTGGGGATCTCGTAGGTCACATTTCTTCCAACAAAGAGGAACTGTGAAAACATTATGTTGGCCAGGCACAGTGGCTCATGCCTGTAATCCCAGCACATTGGGATGCCAAGATGGGCGGATCACAAGGTCAAGAGATCGAGACCATCCTGGCCAACATGATGAAACCCCGTTTCTACTAAAAATACAAAAATTAGCTGGGCCTGGTGGCACGCATTTGTAGTCCCAGCTACTCTGGAGGCTGAGGCAGGAGAATCTCTTGAACCCAGGAGGCAGAGGCTGTGGTGAGCTGAAATTGTGCCAGTGCACTCCAGCCTGGCAAGAGGGCAAGACTCCATCTCAAAAAAAGAAAGAAAGAAAGAAAGAAAATATTATGCTAAGTAGTGAAATCTTCAGTCCTGCCCACAGCTCTTTCAGAAGTTAAGAAAACAACAGGAAAAAGAACAATTCTGTTAATTGAACCAAGACTCAAGATATCATTAATTAATCCAGGTCTCAGAAAATAATAATTAAAAAAAAATCCTGATTAGGTTACAGGACACAAAAGATAAGAAGAGTCATCACTGAATAAGACTAGGAGGCCTTCCGGAAAGGGACAATTTTCTGAAAGGCTTGCCGAAACTCTTCATTAAACACAGTGTAGATTATTGGATTGATGAGGGAGTTTAAATAGCCTAGCCAGGTGAAGAAGTCAAAGAGGGCCGGGTGGATCCAGCAGGAGTCCCGGCAGATGGGGAGGACCAGAGACACCACGAAGAAGGGCAACCAGCAGATGATAAAAGCCCCCAGAATGATGCCCAGGGTTTTAGTGGCTTTCCTTTCCCGAGCAGCGGAAATCCTCTTGCGTTCCAGGGCACTGTCAGCAAGCTTGATTTTCACGTGGCTGAAAAAGAGAGGGGAGCCAGCCGAGTGCGAGTGCCCCTCATGGAGGCTGGGGTTGAGCGAACAGAGGGAGGACCCTGCAGAGCCTGTGATGAGGTGGGCTGTGGTGAAGCGCTTCCCATAGAGTGAGGGTGGATTCAGGATGCGATTCCGGGCCGCCCGGTAGATCCGGCCATATAGGATGATGAGCAACACCGAGGGAATGTAGAAGGCCCCACACGTGGAGTAGATGGTGTAGGAGATCTGAGAGGTGTTCACCAGGCACTCCAACATCTCCTCCTGGGCCTTGGCCTGTCGCCAGAAGAGAGGGGGAATGGAGATGCAGATGGAGATGGCCCAGACGATGGCAATCATGGTGGCCGCATGGCCAGCTGTCCTGCGTTTACTGTACTCCAGGGCATCCGTGATCGCCCAGTACCTGTCCAGAGCAATGACACAGAGATGCAGGATGGAGGCCGTGCAGCACGTGATGTCAGAAGACAGCCAGATGTCACACAAGATTTGGCCAAAGTTCCAGGTGTGGGTGATGGTATAGGCGATGCTAATGGGCATGACCAAGATGGAAACCAAGAGGTCGGTGGTGGCCAGGGAGCCAATCAGGTAGTTGGCAGGGGTGTGGAGCTTCCTGGTGAGTAAGATGGTGGTGAGTACAAAGGCGTTGGAGAAGACTGTGGCCAGTGTGATGATGGAAAGGACCATGGCAAGGGAGATCTTGAGTGCCTGGAGGGTCCTGGGATCCCAAGCCTCTGGGGTTTCTGTGGCATTCAGGGATCTGTTGGAGGCCTCCTGGGGAAGGCCTTCTGTTGACTGGTTCAGTGGGGACATGCTAGGTGGCTCTCTCTTCCCACAGACCTCCACACATTTGGCTCCTTCCTTCAAGGTTGTCCTGACAACAGAGCAAAGTCATCCTTCTGCTTCACACTGGTGGGAGCCATACACTAGAACAGACCACAGTGAAAAGGCCTCAAGACCGGACTATTCTCCAAGTACAGCTGTAATAAAATAAAATTAAATAGTAATGATAATAATAAACAAGACCAGATTATTTGAAGAACGATGAGACAACTACCACTGGTAGTTAAAGGTCTTTCCTAAACCACAGGAATTCCAGGATGTCTCAGGGTCCTGGAGCTTTGCCCAGCAGATGGTCATGCCCCGGGGGACACATGCTGAGTTCGTTAGACAGTTATCAGGGGATCACACCCAGGTGGGCAATGCCCTGGGATTCTTGCCTGTGGCATCTGGCTCTTTTCAAAGCTTGAGTCATTCGTGTGTTTAATGAGAACTTCAGAATTCCCCTCATAATAATTGAAACGATTCTGGATTTAGGATTGCTTCCGAGGAGCTTTTAAAACTAGACACAAAAAGAAGTTCCAGCTGATTCAGAGAAGCAGTCCAGTCAGCACAGCGGCTCGCGGTTTTCCCAAGTTCATCTTGATGCATCCTGAGCTACTTAACTTCGGTTCCTGTCCCACTGATCGTTTAGAGCCTGAACAGACAAAACATCCTGGTTACCAAGACTTGAAGAATGCATGAGCTGGGACCAGGCAAAACAAACAGATCACTGTGGGCTCACGGAATGGGGACATGTTCAGAAGATCTGGGGTTTAAAAAAGAAAAAAAAAATAGAGTTAGGTTCTAGAAGGACAATGTGGAAGCCTGAAATGAACTACATGATTAAAAAGATACTACTTAAAGCTGGCCATGGTGCTGTGGAACTGGCATTCTAGAAAGTATCAGAATACAGGGGTGGGTGATGTGCCCCACCCAGGCAATTCCCACAGGGGACAAAGTGTCATAGCTGTTGGAATCATCACAAGCTTGTTAGAAGTACATGAAATCAGCTCTGTAAGTTGTGAATCAGAAAGCGTCATTCTATTTATTTAGCAACAATGGAAACAAAATAAAACTGTACACGGGGAAAGATAAAGACCATCAGGAAAGAAGTCAAATTGTTATAATGTATTTCTCTACAAAGTAAAGGTTGTGACCTTTTTTCTACTTTTTCTACTCATTTGAATTTTTCAGATGTCCTATAGTGAGCATGAATAATGTTATTTTTAATTTATTTATTATTATTTATTTATTTATTTTTGAGACGGAGTCTTACTCTATTGCCAGGCTACAGTGCAGTGGCGCGATTTCGGCTCACTGCAACCTCTGCCTCCTGGGTTCAAGCGATTCTCCTGCCTCAGCCTCCCGAGTAGCTGGGACTACAGGCACACGCCCTCACACTCAGCTAATTTTTGTATTTTTAGTAGAGACGAGGTTTCACCATGTTGGCCAGTCTGGTCTCGAACTCCTGACCTTGTGATCCGCCCGCCTCAGCCTCACAAACTGTTGGGATTACAGGCATGAGCCACCGTACCTGGCCGGAAGTCTATTTTTAAAAATGTTTTTATTATGTTCGTTCTTTCTTTCTCTCTTTCTCTCCCTCCCTTCCTCCCTTCCTTCCTTCCTTCCTTTCTTCCTTCCTTCCTTCCTTCCTTCCTTCCTTCCTTCCTTCCTTCCTTCCTTTTTCTCTCTTTCTTTCTCCCCTCCCTCCCTTCCTTCCTTCCTTCCTTCCCCATTGTGGAAGTTTAATCCAGAAAATACATTCAACTTTCCAAATGGAAACTGGAAACCTAGCTGCAAAAAAATCTTGGGAACTTCTGGGTTGGCGAAAGTATCCAGGTGTCTGTCTAGAAGCTCCTGACCTCAGGTGGTCCGTGTGCCTCGGCCTCCCAAAGTGGGAGGGATTACAGGTGTGAACTATCGTGGCTGGCCCCTTGAAGCTTTTTCAGACCTTGTCCTAGATACCTTTTCTTCTGGTTGTTCATTTGAATTCTATATAATAAACCAGTAATTTTTAAATTATTTATTTGTTTATTTATTTATTTTGAGGTAGGATCTAGCTTTGTCCCCCAGGCTAGAGTGCAGTGGCATGACCACAGCTCACTGCAGCCTCGACCTCCTGGATCGAGTGACCCTCCAACCTTAGCCTCCCAAGTAGCTGGAACTACAGGTACATACCACCATGCCCAGCTAATTGTTTTTTGTTTTTTTGTTTGTTTGTTTGTTTTCATAGAGGCAGGGTCTTGCTATGTTGCCAGGGCTGGTCTCAAACTCCTGGACTTAAGCAATCCTCCAGCCTTGACCTCCCAAAGTGCTGGGATTACAGCCACGAGCAGCTTTAGCTCCTTAATGTTTTAAAAATCAATCACCAGCTGGGCGCAGTGGCTCTTGCCTGTAATCCCAGAACTGTGGGAGGCTGAGGCAGGTGGATCACCTTAGGTCGGGAGTTCAAGACCAGCTTGACCAACATGGAGAAACTCTGTCTCTACCAAAAATACAAAGTTAGCCAGGCGTGGTGGTGCATGCCTGTCATCCCATCTACTTGGGAGGCTGAGGCAGGGGAATTGCTTGAAACCAGGAGGTGGAGGTTGCAGTGAGCCAAGATCGCACCATTATACTCTAGCCTGGGCAACGAGAGTGAAACTCTGCCTTAAAAAAAAAAAAAAAAAAAAAGGGCTGGGCAGGGTGGCTCACACCTGTAATCCCAACATGTTGGGAGGCCGAGGTGGGCGAGGTCAGGAGATCGAGACCATCCTGGCTAACATGGTGAAACCCTGTCTCTACTAAAAATACAAAAAAATTTAGCTGGGCATGGTTGCAGCCACCTGGAGTCCCAGCTACTCGGAAGGCTGAGTCAGGAGAATGCTCTGAACCCGGGAGGTGGAGCTTGCAGTGAGCCGAGATGGCGCCACTGCACTCCAGCCTGGGAGACAGAGCAAGACTCTGTCTCAAAAAAAATAAGGCCACCTGGCTGGAAGTGGAAAAACCAGGTCCAGAGATCTCAAGAAATTTCTACCCTTGCCTACATTGCCTCAGTTGAGGATGAAAAGCCTTAAGGCATGCATGCATAGCTGGTTTGACGACCCCCTCCTACCCCCACTCTCCCCAGGCTCCACCCCAAAAGCCTCTGGCTGAAGTTTTGCTCCCATTTTGGTTCACGGGGAAAATGTGAACTCTGGTTGGCTCTTCGAAACTTTCTCCCCTGCAGACAGTCTGGGTGACTGAGGTGCGTCATTTCCCATGGAAGCCTGGTGTGCCGGCCCCACAAACTCATGAGGTCACTCCTTGAGTTCCAAGCATTCCAGTGACCTCATTTCAGTGAAAGGCGTGGGTTCAGAAAGGCTCAGGAGGCTGGTGTGTGTGCAAGCCCTCCAGCCCTCGGTGACATCTTGGGAAGAAGGACAGGGACACAGGGACAGGAGCAGACAGACTTGGTTAGGAAAGCTAGGCTGTAGCTTTGAAAGAAGTAGCACAATTCAGAGGCTCTCTTCTCTCCTGCCTGCTATCCCCCCCCATTGTGAACAAAGGTGGGAGAAGTTTTCATAATCTAGCTGCCTTTGGAGACATGGACTGTAGCTCCATAAGCAACTCTCTCTTTCCCGTCACACTTCAAATAATAAAATAACAAATACAGGCCAGGCATGGTGGCTCACACCTGTAATCCCAGCACTTTGGGAGGCTGAGGCCGGTGGATCACCTGAGGTCAGGAGGTCGAGACCAGCCTGGCCAACATGGTGAAACCCCATCTCTACTAAAAATGCAAAAATTAGCCGGGCGTGGTGGTAGGCACCTGTAATCCCAGCTACTCAGGAGGCTGAGGCAGGAGAATCGCTTGAATCTGTGAGGCAGAGGTTGCAGTGAGCCAAGATCGTGCCATTGCACTCCAGCCTGGGCGACAAAGCAAGACTCCATCTCAAAAAAAAAAAAAAAAGTTAAAATGACAATGAAAGCCGGGTGTGGTGGCTTATGCCAGTAATCCCGACACTTTGGGAGGCTCATGTGGGAGGATCGCTTGGGCCTAGGAGTTCAAGACCAGCCTGGGCAACATAGCAAGACTATCTATTTTAAACAAAAGAAAAAAGAAAGAAAGAAAAATTAAAATGACAACAAGGTGCCATTTTCACCTAGTAGAAAAGTACAGCATTTTAAATCTGATCATGTCATGTCAGTTAATAAGAGTCAGCAGCTTGGGAGGCTGAGGCAGGATGATTGCTTGAGCCCAGGGGTTCAAGACCAGCCTGGGCAACACAGTGATTGGAGATACTTCATAAGCAAACAATTTAGTATTATTTCATAAAACTAAAGAAGCAAACAATTTAGTATTATTTCATAAAACTAAAGATGTGATGACTACCTCATGATTCAGCAATTCCACTGCTGGGTATGCATGGCAGAGAAACTCTTCTGTGTTCGCTAGAAGACAGAAACAAGAATGGTCCTAGTAGCATGAAATAGCAAACAGCTAAAAACAACCAAATGTCCATCAACAGCAGAATGGTAGCATATGGCATAGTCCTACGATGGAGTGCTACAGAGAAGCAAAACAGAGTAAACCACAGCTACACACACCAAAATGGTGATTATCACAAACAAGGCAGAGTGCCAAAGTCAAAAACATGCAAGAAGAAACAAACTGTTAGGGAGATAAATATATGTGGCAAAACCATAAGGAAAAGCAAAGAAATTAAAAATATAAAATTCAGGGGCCGGGCGCGGTGGCTCATGCCTGTAATCCCAGCACTTTGGGAGGCCGAGGTGGGCGGATCACGAGGTCAGGAGACCGAGACCATCCTGGCAAACACAGTGAAACCCCGTCTCTACTAAAAATCCAAAAAAAGTAGCCGAGCGTGGTGGTGGGCGCCTGTAGTCCCAGCTGCTCGGGAGGCTGAGGCAGGAGAATGGCGTGAGCCCGGGAGGCAGAGGCTGCAGTGAGCCGAGATCACGCCACTGCACTCCAGCCTGGGCGACAGAGCGAGACTCTGTCTCAAAAAAAATAAAATAAAATAAAATAAATAAATAAATAAATAAATAAATAAAATTCAGGATAGTGGTTACCCCTGGAGGGAAAAGGACAGAGGAATATAATCATAAAGGGTTTTAAAAGTTTCAATTATATTCTTTTCACTATCTCAGCTCATTGCAACCTCCACCTCCCGGGTTTAAGTGATTCTCCTGCTTCAGCCTCCCAAGTAGCTGGGATTACAGGCATGTACCACCATGCCCGGCTAATTTTTGTATTTTTTTTTAGTAGAGATGGGGTTTCGCCATGCTGGCCAGCCTGCCTTGGCCTCCCAAAGTGCTGGGATTATAGGTGTGAGCCACCACGCCAGGCCTTTTTGAGAAAGGGTCTTGCTCTGTCACCCAGGCTGGAGTGCAGGGGCGTGATCAGAGCTCACTGCAGTCTTGATCTCCTGGGCTCAAGTGATCCTCCCACCTCAGCCTCCTGAGTAGCTGGGACCACAGATACACACTACCACTCCCAACTGATGTTTAAATGTTTTTGCAGAGATGGGGTCTCCCTATGTTGTCCAGGCTTGTCTTCAAACTCCTAGACTCAAGCAATTCTCCCACCTTGGCCTCCTAAAGTGCTGGGATTACAGGTGTGAGCCACCATGCCTGGCCTTTTTTTTTGTTTTTTTTTTAGAGGGAGGATCTTGCTCTGTCACCCAGGTACAGTGGCACAGTCATAGCTCACTGCAACCTTGAACTTCTGGGCTCAAGCGATCCTCCCAACTTGGCCTCCCAAAGTGTTGGGATTATAGGCATCAGCCACCATGCCCAGCCTGATGTTCTATTTTTTAAGTAGGTGGTGAGTGCATTAATATTGTTATTCGTGTGTGTGTGTGTGTACTGCTTTGTAGGGAATGATGCATGTGTAATTTTTCTTTCTTTCTTTTTCTTAACGGGGGGATGGAGTCTTCCTCTGTCACCCAGCCGGGAATGTAGTGATGCAATCTTCGCTCACTGCAACCTCCGCTTTCCGGGTTCAAGTGATCCTCCCACCTCAGCCTCCTGAGTAGCTGGAACTACAGGTGCGTACTACCCTGCCTGGCTATTCTTTGTATTTTTAGTAAAGACGGGGTTTCACCTTGTTGGCCAGGCTGGTCTTGAGTTCCTGACCTAAGGTGATCTGCCCTCCTCAGCCTCCCAAAGTGCTAGGATTACAGGCGTGAGCCATCGCACTCGGTAGTATATGTAATTTTTCTCAATCTGTTTTGTATATCATGAAAAAGAATCCTATTACCAGCAATAATATGTTGATACATTAATACCTATTGATAATTTTTAGTGCAGAAGATCTGCATTCCGGTCCCAGCTCTGCCACTGACCAGCTGGGTAACCATGGGCAAAGCACAACCTCTTTGACCCTTAGTTACTTCCTTGGTGAAATAAGAACAAAAGCCTGGCTGTGCTGTCCCAAAGGAGTATTGAGTAGCTCCAGCAAGATCAAATGTATGTGATGTGTTGTGAACAGAAGAGTCCTGAACAAATGTAATGATGCTAACAAAGGAGGAGTACAGTGGCTAAGAGCAGGCATTCTCAGGTCCCAATTCCTGTTGGTTCGCTTTCTTGCTGTGGCCACTGGGCGAATAACTTCACCTCTCTGAGCCTGCACAGCCTCAGTGATGGAGATGATAATCCAAATCTCACAGGAGTTTGGGGAGAACTGTCAATATCATGGATACAAAATGCTCAACATAGTAAATTATTTCTTTTTGTTTATTTATTTATTTATGGACAAGGTGTCCCTATGTCACCCAGGCTGGTGTCAAATTCCTGGCCTCAAGTGATCCACTCATCTTGGCCTCGCAAAGTGTTGGGATTATAGGCCTGAGCCACCATGCCTGGCCTTGTAGTCAATGGTGACCACAAATGTGATTTATCTGGGTTCTCTATGGTGCATCCAACCAAATTCAGATATCCAGGCAACAAGATCACTTCCCTCACCAGAAACAAAGTATCACTGACCGTTTTGGTGAGAGATGTCTGCCATTGCCAGAAACCCAGATATACCAAGGAGCTTCCTCCCTGCCCACCCATTTTCCCAGGGGCCATCATAGCAGCAGCAGAAGCAAGGACCTTTCTCGGCCCCGCCTCCACCTCCAGGCCACAAGCATCTCCCCTGAAGTCCAGATCACGTGGACTCCAGCCACACCATGCATCTCCCAGGTCTGGCATCTCTGAAGAGGGGTGGAAAGAGAAAAGCAGACAGAGAGACTTATGTACCAATCTTGGCCTGTTTCAGAGACCACCTTTGATTACAGCTGATTGGACCAGGGAGGACATGTGACCCAAAATGAGCCAATCAGATTCTCTCTTGGGAGTTTAGACTGGTGACCATGGGGAGCTGGGCTGGATAGAAGATGGGGGAAGATAAATCTGCAGGCCAAGGGTCCTGCGGCTGGAGTCAGGCTGCAGCCTTTACCAAATCAAGGAAGGTTTGGGGGGAATAGAAAAGCCAAAGGTAAACAAAAAACAGGTCTGTAGAGAGAGGCAGGAGAACGGAGCAGAGAAAGAAGCTGAGGGAGAGGAACCACCTGTCCTGGGAGAGGAGAAGGAAGGAGGCTTCCAGGCCAGGGAATACTCCTTCCCATCCCTGTATGTCCATAAGCGACCTTCTATCCAGGAAACCTCATTTGTACCAACTCGTGTTTTCCCAGCTGAGCCAGTTCACATGGACACAGCAGCCTTTGAGAAATGGTAGTAAGACAGGGAACTTTCTTCTTCTTCTTTTTCATTTTCAGAGACAGGGACTTCCTCTGTCGTCCAGGTTGGAGTGCAGTGGCACGATCATGGCTCTCACTGCAGCCTCGATTGCCCGGGTTCAAGTGATCCTCCCACCTCAGCCCTCCAAGTAGCTGGGACTACAGGCACAAGCCACCATGCCCAGTGAATTTTCAATATTTTTTTGTAGAGACGGGGTCTCGCTGTGTTGCCCAGGGTGGTATGGAACTCCGGGGCTCAAGTGATACTCCTGCCTCAGCTTCCCAAAGTGCTGGGATTAGAGGCTGAGCCGCTGTGCCCAGTCAAGACAGGGGACTTTTGGTTCCTTCCCACTAACCAATCCCTACTGTGGGGTCCAAGTCCTTTCACCTCCTGGGCCCTTCTTCCTCATCTGTAAATTGGGGTAATGACATCTTTCACCCAGAATTGTTATGTGGCTTCAATGAAGTAGGGAGAACATGCCTAGCACAGTGGCTGGCACACAGCAGGTGTTTTTTCTGAGACAGAGTCTCACTCTGTTGCCCAGGCTGGAGTGTAGTGACCCAATCTCAGCTCACTGCAACCTCTGCCTCCCAGGTTCAACTGATTCTCCTGCCTCAGCCTCCCGTGTAGCTGAGATTACAGGCATGCACCATCACGCCTAACTAATTTTTGTATTTTTAGTAGGGGGTTTCACCATGTTGGCCAGGCTGGTTTCGTACTCCTGGCCTCAAGCGATCTATGCATCTGGGCCTCCCAAAGTGCTGGGGGATCTACCCGCTTCGGCCTCCCAAAGTACTGGGATTACATGCATGAGCCACCGCACCCGGCTAGCAAAAGCCGGCGTCTTACAAAAGCAAAAGCCGGCCTCTTACAAAAGCATCCTACCCAGAGCTCATTCAGCCTGCAGGAAGATCTGTCGCCTCCACTTTCTGAGGGCTCTTTAACTAAGTGAGTCATAAAACCTTGCCAGAAACAAAAAGGATGTATGGGTTTAATGTGTCCTTAGAAGCCAGTCTCATCTCTTTGGAAGAAAAAAGTAAGGCTCTGTGATAAAAAGATTTGTTGCAGTAGAATACATCCCCCACAGAGTAATTTGTGGCTGTTCTTGCTGTAGATGCTGTGTAGTACAGATGAGTGAGCTCTGGGTGGAGAAATCACTCTGCGCAAATCTGGACAGGGCTTTATATTTTACAAAATGCACCCACAGCTGTTATTTCATCTCATTCTCTCTCCTGCATGGGACCTCCTACAGCCTTAGTTTTCTCCTCTGCAAAAATCAGGGTATCGAGTCTACCTCCCAGAGATATAATGAGGGTTGTATAGAACATGTGTGGGGAAGAATCTGGGAAGTTTCTTTTTCTTTCTTTTTCTTTTCGGTTTGTTTTTTTTTTTTTAGACAGAGTCTCACTCTGTCGCCCAGGCTGGTGTGCAGTGGGGCAATCTCGGCTCAATGCTACCTCCGCCTCTGGGGTCAGGCGATTCTCCTGTCTCAGCCTCCAGAGTAGCTGGGATTACAGGCATGCACCACCACAACCGGCTAATTTTTTTTATTTTTAGTAGAGATGGGGTTTCACGAGGTTGGCCAGGCTGGTCTCGAACTACTGACCTCAGGTGATCCACCCACCTTGGCCTCCCAAAGTGCTGGGATTACAGGCATGAGCCACCGTGCCCAGCCGAATCTGGAAAGTTTTAACATGGGTATGGGTGTGTGTGTATGTGTATGCATCTCCCCCATTTCATGCTCTCTCTTTCTACCTATATCTGAATGCCAGTTTTAAAATCTAATCAGTATCTTGAGGTGTAAACAAATCAGTCTTGCACCTCAGTTTCTCTAATCATAAAATCTGGAAAATGGGCAGGGCATAGTGGCTCATGCCTGTAATCCCAGTGCTTTGGGAGGATGAGGTGAGATCACTTGAGGCCAGGAGTTTGAGATCAGCATGAGCAACATAGCGAGACCTCATCTCTCCAAAATATTTAACAATTAGCCAGGCATGGTGGCATGCATCTGTAGTCTTAACTATTTGGGGGGCTGAGGTGGGAGAACTGCTTGAGCCCAAGAGTTTGAGGTTACAGTGAGCTATGATGGTGCCACTGCACTCTAGCCTGGGCGACAGAGTGAGCCCCTATCTTAAACAAACAAACAAACACCTCTGTGAAACACAGAAAATAAAAGTTCGCCAAATTCCCAGCCCAGTACTTCCATTCCTAGCTGTACACCCAAGAAAAACATGTATGTACATCCACCAAAAGATACATGCAAGAATTGTTCATAGCAGCACTATTCATAACAACCCCAAACTGCAAACTACCTAAACAAGTGTCTACAGTAGAATAGGGCCAGGCACAGTGGCTCACACCTATAATCTCAGCACTTTGGGAGGCCGAGGCAGAAGGGCTGCTTGAGGTTAGGAGTTTGAGACCAGCCTGGGCAACACAGGGAGACCCAGTCTCTAGAAAAAAAAGTTAAAGAATATTAGCGCTTGCCTGCTGCCATGTAAGACATGACTTTGCTCCTCCTTCACCTTTTACCATGATTGTTAGGCCTCCCCAGCCATGTGGAACTGTGAGTCAATTCAGCCTCTTTCTTTATAAATTACCCAGTCTCACTGGGCATGTCTTTATTAACAGCTTGAGAACACACTAATACCATCAGTGTGGATTGGTTTGCATTTTACATAATTTTACATAAGTAAAATCAGAGATCTACTCATTTTTGCCTGGCTTTTTTCATTCGGCGTAACTGTTTTGAGTTTCATCCATGTTATTGCATGTTCTCTTTTATTACTGAATAGTATTCCATTGTATGTATACACCAAAATGTGTTTATCCATTTACTCGATGGGCTATTACAAATAAAGTGGCTGTGAACACTCATGTACAAAAAAAAAAAAAGCCAGATATGACAGCACCCCCACCTGTAGTCCCAGCTACTTGGGAGGCTGGGGCAAGGGGATCTTTTGAGCCCAAGAGTTTGAGGTTACAGTGAGCTCTAATAGTGCCACTGCACTCCCAGCCTGGGTGACAGAGCAAGACCCTGTTTCTAAAAAATAACTACTACAACAAACAGTAGAATGAATAAATAATTGTGACATAATCATATAAGAGAGAGTGATTATAAGAATCACTCTTCATCAATGAGAATGGTTCCCAGCTACACACAAACAGGTGGATGAATCTAATAGACATAATGTTAAACAGAAGAAGCCGGGCGTCATGTGTGATTTAAACTTCATAAAGTTCAAAAACAGGCAAAACTGACTTACACTGAGGGAAGTCAGGCTATTGTGTTTCCCGTGAGAATATAAGGGGGGCTTCTGAGTGCAGGTCATGTTCTGTTTCTTGAGCTGCTGGGTTCACTTTGTGAAAATTCATCAGGCTGCACACTTGTGTTTGGGGTACTTTTGCTTTTCTGGAAGTTTTGCCCTCCCGCCCCCCAAAAAATAGTGGTTAACTGCCTAAGAGCCTCAGGCACCAGCTCCACTGATTACAGGGAGAACTTGGAGTCATCACTGAACCTCTTTGCACCCAGTCCTTTTCCTTTCCTTCCCTTCCCTTCCCTTCCATTCTTCCTTCTTCCTTTTCTTCTTCATTTCCTTTCCTTTCCTTTTTTGAGACAGAGTCTTGCTCTGTCGCCCAGCCTGGAGTGCAATGGTGCGATCTTGGCTCACTGCAACCTCCACCTCCCGGGTTCAAGCGATTCTCCTGCCTCAGCCTCCCAAGTAGCTGGGACTACAGACACACACCATCACGCCTGGCTAATTTTTGTATTTTTAGTAGAGACAGGGTTTCACCATGTTGGTCAGGCTGGTCTCAAACTCCTGACCTCAAGTGATCCACCCACCTCGACCTCCCAAAGTGCTGGGATTACAGGTGTGAGCCACCACACCTGGCCGCACTCAGTTTTTTCATGTGGAAAATGCAAACAACAGCACCAATGTCACGTGACTGTCACATGAGTGACAGAGAGGTAGGTGACTTGCCCAAGTTCACATGGCAGTTTGGTGTCCCTCTCAGCTCAGCTCGATGCTTCTATTGCCCTGTGCCACCTCTCCCTGCCCCCATCAAAAGGAGTATATTTTTTTGTCCCTTGATTCTGGGTTCAGCATGGACTCACTGTGGTCAACAGAATGAGGCAAAAGTGACAGTAAGCTGGTGCCAAATGTAGTCCTCTAGAGGCTGTGCATGTGTCTGCTTGCACTCCGTCATTGCCATGAGAAGAACATCCCTGGGCTAGCACACTGGTCCCTGCAGGGAGAGACAAGGACATGAAGCAGAGCTGTTCCAGCCAAACCCAGCCTAGAACAGAGCCTCTCACACAACCAGCAGACACATGTGCGAGCCCAGCCAAGATCAGCAGACATACCCAGCCAAGTGTATATCCAGAGGAAAAGAACTCATTATACAAAAAAGATACTTGCACATGCTTGTTTATAGCAGCACAATTCGCAATTGCAAAATCATAGAACTAACCCAAATGTCCATCAATCAGTAAGTGGATAAAGAAACTGATTTATACGATTGAATACTACTCAGTCATAAAAAGCATTTAAATAATGGCATTTCAACGACCTGGATGAAACTGGAGACTATTATTCTAAGTGAAGTAACTCAGGAGTGGAAAACCAAATATTGTATGTTCTCACTGATATGTGGGAGCTAAACTATGAGGACGCAAAGGCATAAGAATGATACAATGGACTTCGGGGACTTGGGGGAAAGGGTGGGAGGGGGGCAAGGGATAAAAGACTACAAATAGGGTGCCGTGTATGCTTCTTGGGTGATGGGTGCACCAAAATCTCATGAATCACTGCTAAAGAACTTATTCATGTAACCAAATACCATCTGTACCCCAATAACCTATGGGAAAAAAAAAAAGAAATACCCAGCCAAGTTCAGATTAAATCAGCCAACTTCCAAATGCATGATTCGTAGTAATAAATGCTGTTGTTTTATTTCACCAAGTTTGAGGGTAGCTTGTTACATAGCAATAGCCAATTGATAAAGTCCCTTCGTTCACTGAGTGTGTGTTTTTGTTTTGTTTTTGAGACAGTTTCACTCTTGTTGCCCAGGCGGGAGTGCAGTGGCGCTATTTCAGCTCATTGCAACCTCCACCTCCCAGGTTCAAGTGATTCTCCTGCCTCAGCCTCGCGAGTAGCTGGGATTACAGGCATTCGCCACCAGGTTCGGCTAATTTTGTATTTTCAGTAGAGACGGTCTCAAACTCCTGACCTCAGGTGACCCACCCTCCTCTGCCTCCCAAAGTACTGGGATTACAGGCGTGAGCTACCACACCTGGCCCCTTCATTCACTGAATGACTGGATTCTGTCCATTCTACTGCCCACACCTAACTGCCTTGACTCTTCTCTCCCTTCTCCACTCCTACTGCCACTGTTCTGTTTCAGGAGAGTGAAACCATCCTTCCTGGCTTCAATGGTCTCCCAGCCTCCACTCTTGGCCCCTGCCCATTCTCTAACCATATCCCACCCAACTAACAGTCTGACCAGGTCACTCCCTTAAAATCCTCCAGTAGCTCCCGCTGCACCCGGGATTAAGCCCAGGCTTCACAGCTTGGTTTAAGAGACCCTTCATGAACTGGTGTTTCCTTCCATCTCCAACCCCATCTCTCAGCATAGCTGGCTGTGACCTTCACACTGCAGCAGCACAGACCTGCCTGTTCTTCCAGTACCCTCCTGCCATACCCCCGGCTCCAGTGCTGTTTCCTGCTGATCCTTTTTCCCTGCTGTATCCTCTGCCTGGAAAATGTCCTTTCTTCAGTCCTCTGGCTGCCTAATTCCAAGTCACCCTTCAGAGTTAGGCTCTGGTGTCTCCCCAGGAAGCTTTCCCTAACCTCCCCCCAAGCCCAGCTTGGTTCAGGTACCCCTTTCCTGAGAGCCTCCCACCCTAGCTCTCACCATATTGGACGGCCTCTGACACAGTAACAAGAGCTCCTTGAGTGTAGGGACCATGTCTCATTCACCCCTGTAGCCCTGACACCTGGCCCAGAGCAAGGCATCAACACCTGTCTATGAAAGGGTCCAGGAACTGGTGGGGAATGGGCCCTGAGAACAGAGCACACGCCTGAGAGGCAGAGGCCCCGGGCTTTAGCTTGGCTTTGCTGCTAACTTTCTGTGTAACCTAGGATAAGTCAGTTCCTCCTCCAAGCCTCGGTTTCTCCAACTTGAAAATGAGGTAGTTGGATCAGATCAGAGATTCTCTTGGTGAGCATCAGAATCACCTACCTGCAAGAGCTTTAAAAATACAAGTCAGGCCGGGCACAGTGGCTCACACCTGCAATCTCAGGACACTGGGAGGCTGAGGCAGGCAGATCACTTGAGGTCAGGAGTTCGAGACCAGTCGGCCAACATGGTGAAACCCCGTCTCTACCCCCCCCCAAAAAAATACAAAAATTAACTGGGTGTGGTGTGTGGTGGCACGCGCCTGTAGTCCCTGCTATCAGGAGTTGAGGCAGGAAAGTCACTTGAACCCAGGAGGCAGAGGTTGCAGTGAGCTGAGATCGTGCTACTGCACTCCAGCCTAGGTAACAGAGTGAGACTCCATCTCAAGAAAAAAAAAGAAAAGTCTGTTAAAAACAACAACAGATATCTAGGCCTCACCCTCCAGGGGATAGAGCTCAGGCACTGATTTTTGAAAACTTCTCAGCTGCTTCTAAGGTGAAACCAAGATGAAAAACCACTGGCCTGGATGACACCTAGTTATCTTCATCACTGACAATTTGGCTACCTTAAAAAAGTCAAAGACAGATGAAACCTGTTTTCAAGGCCTTTGCAATGGTTAGGGAAATATGAGGCCCCAGTGCCTTCCTGCTTTTAACCTTGCACTGGATCTCCACAAGCCTTCAACAGGCAAGAGACCACCTCAAACAACCAAACACACTGTTAAAAGGCAAGGGCCTCTTTTTTTTTTTGAGGTGGAGTCTTGCTCTGTCGCCTAGGCTGGAGTGCAGTGGTGCAATCTCGGCTCACAGCAACCTCCGCCCACCAGGGTCAAGCAATTCTCCTGCTTCAGCCTCCTGAGTAGCTGGGATTACACCACCCACCACCACGCCTAGCTAAATTTTGAATGTTTTTAGTAGAGACAGGGTTTCACCATGTTGGTCAGGCTGGTCTCGAACTCTTGACCTCAACTGATCCTCCCACCTTGGCCTCCCAAAGTGCTAGGATTATAGGCGTGAGCCACTGTGCCCAGCCGGCAAGAGCCTTTGAAGTTAACAACTCACTATATTCACTCATGCTGTGGGAAAGTGGGTAAAGAGGTTTTAAATTCTTACCATCTAGCCAGGTGTGGTGGCTCATGCCTATAATCCCAGCACTTTCGGAGATGGAGGTGGGCAGACTGCTTGAGGCCAGGAGTTCGAGACCAGCCTGGGCAACATGGCAAAAACCCATCTCTACAAAAAATACAAAAATTAGCCAGGTGGCCAGGCACGGTGGCTCATGCCTGTAATCCCAGCACTTTGGGAGGTCGAGGCGGGTAGAACACCTGAGATCAGGAGTTCGAGACCAGCCTGACCAACATGGTGAAACCCTGTCTCTACTAAAAATATAAAAGTAACTGGGCATGAAGGCACATGCCTGTAATCCCAGCTACTTGGGAGGCTGGGGCAGGAAAATCGCTTGAACGCAGGAGGCAGAGGTTGCAGTGAGCCGAGATTGTGCCATTGTACTCCAGCCTGGGCAACAAGAGCAAAACTCCATCTCAAAAAAAAAAAAAAAGAGGCCGGGCGCGGTGGCTCAAGCCTGTAATCCCAGCACTTTGGGAGGCCGAGGCGGGTGGATCACGAGGTCAGGAGATCGAGACCATCCCTGGCTAACATGGTGAAACCCCGTCTCTACTAAAAATACAAAAAACTAGCCGGGCGTGGTGGCGGGCGCCTGTAGTCCCATCTACTTGGAGGCTGAGGCGGAAGAATGGCGTGAATCCAGGAGGCGGAGCTTGCAGTGAGCCGAGATCGCGCCACTGCACCCCAGCCTGGGCGACACAGCGAGACTCCGTCTCAAAAAAAAAAAAAAAGAAAAGAAAAATAAAAAGAAAAAAAAAATTAGCCGGGTATGGTGTCTCAAAAAAAAAAAAAAAAAATTTGGTGATATATATATATCACCAACTGCTCCTATTATTACTAATTGGGGGTGAGGGGAATGAATTAGTGCACCCATTTTACAGACGAAGAAACTGAGGTCCAGAGAGGTAAAATGACTGGCTCCCAGCCATACAGGTAATATATGGCATAGCTGGGATTGACAGCCAAAGTTCAGAAATAAAATAGCCACTATTGGCCATGTGTGGCCACTGGGCGCTTCAAATGTAGTCCCTGAGATGTACCTGGTTCAAAAAAAGAATGTTAAAAAAAAAGTGTAAAATAGCTCACTAATAAATGTATCAGTTACATGTTGAAATGGTAATATTTTGGATGTGGTAGGTTAGTAGAATATATAAATAAAATTTTCACTTTTTGTTTTGTTTTGTTTTGTTTTTGAGACAGAGTCTTGCTCTGTCACCCAGGCTGGAGTGCAGTGGCGCAATCTCAGCTGACTGCAACCTCTTCCTCCCTGGTTCGAGCAATTCTCCTGCCTCAGCCTCCTGGATAGCTGAAATTACAGGCGTGCACCACCATCACGCCCAGCTAATTTTTGTATTTTTAGTAGAGATGGGGTTTCACCATGTTGGCTAGGCTGCTTGCCTCAGCCTCCCAAAATGCCTGGGATTACAGGCATGAGCTACCGCACCCAGCCTATTTTCACTTTTTAAAAATGTGGCTACTTTGAAATTTCCTAAATTGAAAAAGCACATGTGTCACTCACGTTGTATTTCTGTTGGTTGGTCCTGCTCTAGCAGTGGCTCTTAGCAGCGGTGATAGTGCTCCCTAGGGCTCAGATCAGGAGTCTGTCCTCAGGGAACTGCATTTCCAGGGAGGGGGTTGGGACAGTAGGGAGGGGGCCCGGGGCTGCTATGTGGGCATGGGGATGAGGAGGGGTCGGAATGGCCCCAGTAGTAAAGTAGTGGCCAACATTTATTGAGAGTTTACTATGTGCCAGGCACTGTTCTAAGCTTCTCATGTATTAACTCATTGAAGTCTGACTGCAACCCTCTGTAGTCGATACTATTATTATTATCAATTATTCCCACTTCCCAGGGGAGGAAAGTGAGGCTCACAGAAATGGCTTGCCTAAGACCCTGGAGATGGGGCACTGTGGATCTAGGATTGGAATCTGGGCTTGCCCAACTC